ACTTGTTAGAAGCGATGCACTTGTTCCTAATAGCTTCTTGCTACTAGTAGTAAGGCACTTGTTAGAAGCGATGCACTTGTTCCTAATAGCTTCTTGCTACTAGTAGTAAGGCACTTGTTAGAAGCGATGCACTTGTTCCTAATAGCTTCTTGCTACTAGTAGTAAGGCACTTGTTAGAAGCGATGCACTTGTTCCTAATAGCTTCTTGCTACTAGTAGTAAGGCACTTGTTACTCGAAGCGATGCACTTGTTCCTAATAGCTTCTTGCTACTAGTAGTAAGGCACTTGTTGCTAGAAGCGATGCACTTGTTCCTAATAGCTTCTTGCTACTAATGAACCAAAAAAAATCAACCCTAAGAATTGTGCTTTTGTTCACTTCTCCACGACATCTCGCTTCAAGACACCTTCGTCACTGCCTTCGCCAAGCAGCCCATGTGGATCCAGCAATTTCCAAAGCTCGCTTTCGCCTGGCAGTTGGGGCCCGCAGGCACTGCCTCCGCGCAAAAGCGGCGTCGTCGTGCGGTCGGTCCATCTGCAACGACTGTTCCACTGGGTGTCAATGGTGCAGGACCCCGAAATCTATTTTACGATGCGGCATGAGAAGTCGTGTCCCATGCACCCACCGCGTCTGCCAGTGGCACTCCTCATTCCTTCATTGTGCCAGGCAGATTTCACGAGGCAGCAGGGGGGGTGTTGTTGTGCAAGGAATGCAAACTACTATTCCTAGTGGCGCAAGGTCTTTCTTCCTTGCTTGCTACTTGGCTTCGTCCTTCATTCCTTCCTTGCTTGGTTTCTGTATAACTTGTTTGCCGTCCTTGCTTGCTTGGTTTCTTGCCTCCTTGCTTCCTCACTTACTTGGTTCCTGCTTTGCTGCCATCCTTTCTTGCTTCTCTTGCCTCGCACAGCAAAGTAGCAAACAAGAGACAACACCGGCGCATGCAAACTAACTAGCAGAACACATACAGAGAAACACAAAAAGCAGGAAGCGGAGAAGCAATACATGAATCAGAAGTACAAAAGCAAAAAGCAGAACAGCACAAAAGCAGGGAAGCTGAAAGAAAACAGAAAATCGGAGAAGCAGAAACGCGGGAAAGCAGAATAAGCAAAGAAGCGGAACAGCCAAAATAATGCAAAGAAAGCAAAGAAGTAGAACGGCTAAAGTGAAGCAAAAAGCACCAAGCAAAATGCAAAGAAGCAGAAAAGCAGGAAAGCTGAAAGGAAACAGAAAAGCAGAGAAGCAGAAACGCGGGAAAGCAGAATAAGCAAAGAAGCGGAACAGCCAAAATAATGCAAAGAAGGCAAAGAAGTAGAACGGCTAAAGTGAAGCAAAAAGCACCAAGCGAACTGCAAAGAAGCAGAAAAGCAAAGAAGCAGAAACCAGAAAAGTAGAAAGCGGAAAAGCAAAGAAGCAGAAAAGTAAAGAAGCATAGAGAATCCAAAAACGATCCCAAAACTCTTCAAACTTTAAAGCAGAAGAACTTGCCCTCCTTTCTGCAAGATTTCCCAGGTTGAGGAACTAGATCGTACAACAGGGATCATGTTTCCTACTTGCCAAGTAGCTTTTTGGTGTGTATAAAGCTCCCTGCAGCTTGGGGAAGCTGCAGCTGAAGCCTCGCATTTAGAAGTGTGGATTGGGTATTCCCTGTAACAGTGGATGATGATGCTTCAATTGCAGACCTCTCTCAAAAAGTGTGATAGCCCTTGGTCGACTGTTGCAGAATTTCTGGGACACAGCCTAAGCAGGGGACCAAGGAGAAGGGTGACCAAGGAAAGCAGGCCACAAAATCCTCAGATTTCTTGCTAACCTAACCTTCTCTTAGGCCTTTGCTTGTGGAAATCATCTTTTGGTCGTTGGGTCTCCGCGCGCAGCAGCTCCAGGCGGAGGCACGGCAAGGGTGGGAGCCACCGCTCAAGACGCTGCCTGTGGCGAGGTCCGAAGCAAACGAGGCGAGGTCCGAGCGGCGAACGAGGCGTTTCTCAATGAACATGCAAGACAAGGCATTTGCGGGGATCTGAAGCTCATTGAAGCTCGCTCGTACACGGGCCCTTTCTTGGGAACAAATTCAAGACCGCCACGTACACGGGCAAGTGCAGGAGGCCAAATGCTTCCAAACAACCCAATAAGTTTCAGCCCCGCTCGGGACGCGGGGCCGAATCATTACGGGGCCCAGGTCTGACATGGCAACAGACCATGACTCCAAGTTGCAGGGCTTGTAGCAAAGGCCACCATACTCCTCCTGCCAGGCTGGACCGTTTGGCCCTGATCACAAGCCCAAAGAATTCATTCAAGAAATCATATCCAAAGGAAGAGGTGTTCGATCCAAACGGAGGGGTGTTCGATCAACATCAGCAGGTCTCGAGTCCAAAGAACCTCCTGCACCAAGACGACAGAAGAGAACTCTTGAAGTTGAGGTCTGTTAAGTTGACCAAGCTTCCCGGGACGGGCTCCTCGTCCTCCATGCCTCGGAAGGTCCGAACAAACGAACTTGCAGCAAACAGAAAAGACGAAAACACGGAATTCTGAACCTCCTCTAGGGTCCCTTTTTCTGATCAAGACATATTCTGTTGTCTTTTAAGAAAAAGGGACACCTGCGTGGCCCGAAGGCGGTCAAAAGAAAAAGGGACACCTGCGTGGCCCGAAGGCGGTCACCTGCGACCGCGGCGCGGTCACGAACTGAGAGCTCAGGCTTCTTCAAGGAAGCTCTCCCCTTCAAAGGTGGAGGGGAGCTTCCTTGAAGAAGAAATTGCACTTATTCATTTGGTTCCGTTGATTTCTCAAGAAATAGGCGGATGGGTCGTGACCCACCATGTTCAACCGATCAGTTCACCATGTTTTACGAGTTCGAACGACACCAGGGGGGGCTTTCTCGTGCCCGAAACCGGTCTCCTGGTGCCATGACACAACACCACAGTCTTTATTCAAGAAAAATCCCCCGCCCCTTGCAATGAGTCAAACTCAAACACTCAGATTTCCAGCCTCGCCATGACTTAAAGGGCGCATGTGGTGGAAACCAAGCTTGAGTTCGTGACTCGAGCATGAGGCTTTCCGTGGCCCGTGTCGCATGACTCACGAGCTGCGCGCGGGACTCGCGCCCATCTTGGATGTCTTGCAGCTTCGGTTGTCCAGATGGACTCCCAGCTTCGGTTCCATGATTCGCCGTTCCACCGACACCATAAAGATTCGCGATTCGCCAATGGTCTTCGATATGTTTCGATGTTTCAAAGCAGGGCTAAGAGAAAGAATAAGAGTGTCAGCCTGACCTTAGCAGTAGGTAAACAACAAACTTGTTGAGCAAATGTTGATCCATATGAAAAGGGAAAGGGGCATTCCACCATGCGAATGTTCAAGGGGTGATGTTTGCAAAGATTGGCGGCACCTTGCTCTTCTCAAACAGCGATGCCCAAACCACGGCCAGTGCATGGGTGCCCCGGCACTTATTGCCATCTCCAGTCTGGCAGTTGAGAGAAGTGGAAAGGGATGAAATGTGATCAGATAAGAGCGAACCCATTCGTACCTCTACAACCAAGGTGGGTGATTTCGTGACCACCTTGAAGATCCTGCTGAAGCCAGGGAAGTTCAGAAAGGTCCATTGAATGGAAAGGTTACCATTCTTTCCAGGGAAGAGCGACCCAACAAAGCGGTCATTCGCGACTGGGTAGAAATGCGGTCATTCGTCGACCCAAGGAATCAAGCGACCAGAATCAACGGCCATGTCCGTCTAAGACGAGCCCCCCCAAAGATGAAACCGGAGAAGCCGAAGCAGGACGTCAAAATGGTGCCATGCAGGATGATGGGTGTATTTGTTACGTTGGTCAATCATTGCCTCTGAAGCAGGTGAAAAACAGATGGAGCCTCTCCCTCGGTTTTTCACCCAAGAAACATCGAGACGATGTTCCTGACACATGTTCTGGGGTGGATCTCACAGACTGGCGTGCTGGGCCCAGCGGCTTTCGGCTTGGCGATTCAAGAGCTGGGAACCCAGAGTTACAAAACTTGAGAGTTGGTCGAGTTCCAAATTCCCAGAGTTTGCTTGTCACAACGCGTGGCGATCAAGGCCCCGGAATCCAAGGCCATCACAAAGTGACGGGGCTTGCGTTCCAGGTGACGAGTCGACGAGAGAAGAGCTTCCAGGGTGCGAAAGGAAAAGTTGCGATCAGAGCGTTCTGACTTGTAAGAGAAGTAAGAAAACCTGGTAGCTTCCACCATATCTGTTCAACAAGTCTCCTTGAGGCATCAAGATGTCCCGCAAAAGGGCTCCTTCGCTGTTCTTTGGAAATCGAATGATGAAAAACGGTGTATCCATCATAAACCTGCAAAAAGGAAACAATACTTGTCCTTCAAAGGCGCCCCGAACATAACCACTGCTCCACATCGCCGGGCCCCAGCCCGCAACCCCGCAACCCCGCAACGGCCAACCCGAGTCTTGCACACTCCGTCTTCCAGTCTTCCCGCCTTGGGTGCCAGCTTCGATTCCAAAGGGTTGTCCGTCACCGTCGCCACGGCCGGCGTGGCGGGCGTGGCGGGCGTGGCGGGTGTCGCCGGCGTGGCAGGTGTCGCCGGCGTGGCGGGGGCGGCCGGGGGTACCTGCAGCGAAGCCGAACAGTTCATCTGCTTGGCCCAAAAGGGATTCCGCATTTCTCCCAGAAGATGGATTAAAGCCATACCCTTGTTACTAGTAGCTTCCCTACTTGCGATGGCCTCCACCTAATAGCGTCCTAATACCACTGACTTTAGGTAAGTGGAATATGGAACCTCCAATGTGTCTGCAATCCAGGCCCCGGGCGACGGAAGCGACAGCACTGGTGGCCTTGGACGCTAAAAAAACATGTAACACACTTGGAAGGCAAGCGCAAAAAATATAGAAGAAGAACATGGAAGTGGGAATAACATCTGTTTGTTCAAGGAGGTGTTGTATGGGCGTCTGTGTTTGGCTTTTTGGGGGACGATTCGTTTGGTAGGTTGAAACGGATGTTACCACGGTCCGCTTCTCTTTACTAGGACGCGGTGGTTGCGAGCGCTTGGGGCCGATTTCGACCGCTGTTCCTGGCCTGGTGGAAAGTCTGTAATATATTACACATTGCTTCGTTTTTTTCTGCAAGAGGCAATTCAACGTAATGGATGCGATCTCCCGAGAAAATCTGAGTAAACTGGTCCAGTTTCACGCACATCCCCCCAAAGTCGAAAAGATACACCCCCACAAAAGTGAACCTTTCAAGGCTTGCGACTGTCAGAAGTTTCGCCCCACACGAGTGTTCACCGCACCCCGGCGCCGGCTGGCTCGGTCGGACGTCCCCCGTTGCGGTCTGAACCGACCGCCGGGGGCCCGGACGGTCGTTCCCAGCTTTTGGGCATCCGACTTCAGCATCTCTGCGATGCTCTGAAGCTGCCTGGGTGGGCTTGGCTGCGGGATGAGAAGCAGCGCGAGAAGCAGCGCGATGGTTGGCCCACCCAAGAAAAGCCCCTGTGGACCTGAAAGCCATTGGATCCCGACACGCACTTGGTGTCATCCTTCACGGATGAAAAATTGCCTTTCAGTAGTAGCATGTGCTGAGAAGGCGATGTTTACAAGCAGTGCCGACCAACAACCCAGCCTCTGAGACCAGCATCCGAGTTGGATCTCCCTTAAAGACCCGCAGAAATCATCTCAGTCCCACCGGAACGTGTGACATCAAAAGGACTGAGAACTCACCTGTCAACCACCGTCGTCCCGCCATGAAGAGATCCACCGACTCCGAAAATGACCTCCGACAACTTTTTTTCCCTGCGCCGGGTGGCGACTTCTTCTCTCCGGTCACGGTGCCCGCTTCCTGGGAAGACTCAAAACCAACCACTGATTCAGATTGATCATGGGGAAGCTGAAAAAGTGGCGACTGTTGTCTCTCAAAACATGGCGATCACGCCTATAGTTGCAATGACCTTTCGGCCGGCCAGTGACACTACTTCAACTCTGCAACCCTGCCTATGCTCTCCTCTCCTCAACCGTCGAAACAGAAAATGGATCCTGGAGATGGTGTCCTCAACATATAGGTCTATTCCATACATAGATTACGTATCCGGGCCAGATGCACCATGCTGATACACCATATCTGGGCCAGAGAACCAGTCAAGAATACTATTATTGGCTGGGACGAAAGGGCCAGCAAGGGCATTCTCCCATCCATCACTATGAGCTCCTTGGCAGGCTCTGGACACTCTGTTCTTTCTTAAACACTGTTGTCGCAGTGAGTTATATAGATGTTTTTGCCTTACCACGGACGGTTGGTTCTACGTCTGGCGGGTCTGATAAACGTAGTATGGCAAACGAAGCAGTTTACCAGGATGCCAGGGTGTTTGAACTTCTTGGCCTGAAGACCTGCATTTCCCAGAACAGAGTAGACACGTGTACCGTGTAGGGGTTCCGCGGATTCTTACCATGTCGGAGGCAGCAAAAATCTATTCTGTTTTTCATGTCGACAGACGAAGACACGAGATCTCTCGAGAAGGTCGCTTTCGGCATCTGCAGACCGAAGTCCCGTAGGGCGCCTTCAGGAAATCATCCGCCATCTTCTTCATCTGATCCGCCTTGGAGTTCACGGTGGAGCCCACGCTGCTGACAGCCTGGAGCTGATGAAAAGCCGCTCTCTTGAACCGGACGATGGGGAACTGGCCACAAATGGCTGTCGGTGGCACCAGGCTTCCTTGGTTCACCTACCGGCGATACGGTCGCTTGAACGAACTGCTAGCGGTCCCAAGGCGGCTTGACGCGGGGTCCGGGACGCCCGGGCGTTGTTCACGGTGTTCACCACTGCAGGGGCCTTGTCGGGCGCAGTTCTTGGACGGGGCACGGAGATGGACGACGCTGGGCACAAAGCAGCGCTAAAACAGACTTTTGGAGTTGCTCACTTTGCAGGTTTCAGTTTTTGAAAAAAGAAGTGGAGCACTTTCTGCGAGGTGAAACAGGGCAGTCACCCCAGGCCCAGAGCTCGCAAATGGATGCTCCTCCAGGCAAACGTCATCCACTTGCCATGTACCGCTAGCATCAACGGGTTTCTCAATTTTGAAGGCCGAACTGAACCGGCCGAACTGACCCTCGGACTTGGTGTTCTCCATCGTCCTCTGGAATCCTCTGTTGGAACACTGGCAGTTCACTTTCGAAACGCCAACCACAATCTGTCAGACCAACGAAAACCACTCCGAAAACCACTCCGGTTTCCAACGACCAACGACGAAAACGACCACCGTCCACGGCCACGGCGAACACCGATGCCCTCGGTCCCTGAGAGTCCGTACGACGGTGGGCAGTGTGATAGCTGGAATCTGGCAGGTTCTCTCACAAGAGAACAAGGAACAAGGCCAGAGGAGGCATTTTGGGATGCTCCGATGAGGACCCGTGGTGAGTCATCCGCTGGTCTTGGTGCACCAATCTCTCACCCGCACCCCTACCGTTCCGCTGGGGGAACACAAGCTGGACCCAAGAGCCTAGCTCTTGACTGACGCACGCATGATTTGAAATGACAGGGAAAAGCTGACCTCCATGGTGAAAACATCCGAGAATGATCTCAAAAGTCGAAACGGGAAGATCCACACAGCTTGAGTGGTTTCCACCTACGATTGAGACCTTAATGATGACCTTCAGCCTGGGTCTTACCTTTCTTGGCGCTTTGGCAAAAACTGAACATGTGAACAGCTTCAGCTGCCTCCACTGCCTTTTGTCAATTTCCTGCTACACATTGCGATTCTGACTGACAACGCTCGATTCCGAAAACACGAACGCTGCGAACGCTGGAAGCTCACTTTTCGCAGCCACAACGACCCGGTCCAACTCTGCACAAGAACCCAGGTATCGCAGTGCACAACAGATGCGGATGCGGCGGCCCTACATCCTTCTTTTGCGGCCCTACATCCTTCTTTTTGGGATATGTGGGGGTTGAAGCAGAGCGTGGCGTACTTGGACTCTGTCCTGACGCGCATAAAAGGAACAAACATGTCTGTAGACCCCGTCAAGGCTACAGATGGGTCATTTGTCAGGACCCACCAACATGCATGATCTCCTAAAAAACACAGCCCGCCCGCTTGGAGGTCCTCCCTGTTCCAGTCCACACCCACATCTTGGAGAGCTCTCCCTGACGGACCGATCCACCGCGAGCTTCTGGGGCGGCGCACGGTGAGAGTGGGAAGCGGGGCCTCGAAGCGGACGAAGCGATGGACGCAACATGAGATGGACGGGTGGGTGAAGGCTTCTGGAAATGCCCGAAGTAACTAAAAGAGGGGGAAAGGAAAGAGCTCTGGAGCTCTGCTGCTCTGCTTATCTTCTGTGCATCACAAATGCAACATGCAAGATATTATACTTCCTGAGCGCCCCTGCTGTTTCTTGTAATACCTGTCTACTCCAAGGTGACCATTTACATGAGGGGAAATTGCATCGACGTGCCAATGGGACAAACCCAACCCGACCGTCCGGCCTTTCGGGCACGTGGGGTCCTTCGTCGCTGAGGGGTTGGCGTTCGGCTTGCAAGAAGAAGTTGGGCTCGCCACATCTGACTTGCGCCACCCTACGAGTGGCTGAGGGTGGCTGGATCTAATGGAATCTCCATTGGGGGCTCATTCCCCCCATCACCCCGCATCGCTTGGGTCCCACGACGGCGGTGACCACCTCAGAACCACCCGGCCGTCCAGTCTGATCCGTGGAACCCCGGAAGTGACACGAGTCTGAGTTGAACTTTCCACACCGAAAGGGTTGTTTGATTCGAGTCAGGGCTGTGGTTTTGGAAGGGCGTGTTTTTTTTCTGAAATTGGATGCCTTCTTGTGTTCATTGGCTGTGTTTCTACACTTTCTTCAAGACCCATCCAAAACCCTCAAAGAGTGTTGCCCTTGCAAAAGGCTTCTCAGAGAGTGCTTTCTGAATCGTTCTGAATTTCTGTGACGACTGACGACTCTACCGCTGCCCACCTTCACATAACACGTCGCAATCACTGTGAGTGTAAACCAAAATCGTTCAAATGAAAATACCAGCACTTACAAGTGGGCTGTGATCCTACTTTTGACCGGTGGGTATTGTATGTATGGATGTATGGATATGTACGGGGTCCTTCTCGGCAGTCCCAACCCAACTCTGCAGTTCATACCAACTTTGTGAGAGTCTGTCCTTCAGACAGACCAACACTCCCTGCTTTGTTGATTCAAAGAGTCAGTTCTGACACCTCAAACTCTTGACCCTCCTGCCCCGCGCACCAACCAAGTACCCCGGACTGCAGGAACTGCAGGAGCGCTCGGCGGCGTGACGCCAGCCTGGCGATGGCCGGTTCCGGCCACGGCGGTGGAGGCCACGGTGTGGGTTCAGATCAAACCGCGGATGGATGGCACAGTGGAAAATCTACAGCTGTGCCACTAGAATCGGAGATCCGAAAGGTTGTTCAGCTCCCCCACAAGTGCCCAAACCGATTGGGCATGATCCTGCTGGTTGGTGGTTGAATGTCTTCAAAGCACAAAAATATGATCAATAGATAGACTGTGGCGGTTCATATTGGCTAGTTTCCAAGAGGGCTTCTTTGAATCGAGTCATCTTCCGCAACTGAACTGACTCGTGGCGAAACGCGTTTGCGACAAAGCTCTGGGGGCCCCAGCAGTAGGACCACCCAGGTTCAAGGTGTTCTGAGCGTTCGTCGCACATGGAAAGGGCCGCAGGGGGCAACTGCTGGGGGGGATCAGATGAATCAACCATGAACGCAGATGGACCAAAACCGGCTTGAAGGATGGAACAAAAAGAAAAGTACCACTTATGATATATACTGTGAATGACAGATTGTGGGATTCTGGTGTGTTTGAAGTGCGCACTCACACGCCAGCATGACAACCTGTGCATAACCCGGAGACAGGTGGAGTTGTGAAGAAAGCGCGGCTTTCATTTGGAGATGGCAGCCACACATCCAAACATACAATCATCAGGTGGTCCTTCAAATCAGGTTGACATTCCCTTCCATCCTAAGGTTGGAAGTGGTGCTTCAAGATAGCAAAAAATATTGTGGGGTACCACAAAGCAAAAACCTTTCTTTGGGTTCCAGAGCCAAAAGTTGTGCCAAAACATTCCAGACATTCCGTCGACGGACCGCCGACCGCGTGAACGGCACCTTCATCTGATCAGCCGCTTTCTGTACGGCCTCCATAGGCTTTTGAACAGCAGCCTCAGCTGGGGGCTCCCGCTGTGTCGGATCCATGGTATGGTTCAGCCTGTATGGATGTGAAATAATCTCCACTGTAGAGCGAAAGCATGCCAAAACCCAGAACATCTGGAAGACCCGAATGTTCTGCTGTTCCGAAAGAATGAAGTTGCTACTCCAAGAAAGCACGGGGAAGGCGGAACCGGTCTGAACCGCCTTTGAGGAGAAAAATATAGGAAAAAATGCATTCCCTTCAACAAACACCCCAACAAAGCTCTTCTACAATCCACTTCTACCGCTTTCCGCTTCGAGACTATGCTGTCCCGACTCTCCGACTTCTCTGCGAACCGCCTGGCCTGGGCCTGCTTGGCCGCGGTCGTGCCGGCATCCTGGGGCCGTCGGTTTCAGTGGTTGAAAGAATGTGGCGACTTTCAAACTGGTTGTCAACCAAACAAGATGATATCAAATGACTGAAAGAATGCGGGAGACAAAAGCTCTTTCAAAGCCTAAGAGTTTTGGGACGTGTTTTCGGAAACCCGAATGCGATAGGGAGCGAAGGAAGTGGTGTTGCTGTCTCGTCGGAAATGAGTGAACACAGTTAAACACAGTTCCTCAAACATATTTGCTTGGCTGGCCCGGCCAGGGGACTTAGGGCTTGGTATGCAGAGGAAACATCGCTGGCAACCGACCGTGCACCTCTACATTCTTCCCCCACAACAACCTGAGAAGAGCGGAATGACAGCCAGGAGGAAGCAGGTGACTAGAATGTCACCCAAACATTCACACATGTGTAACGTTGGAGTAGGCCGAAGAAAAAGTAAATACACACTCCACATGCACCTCCCGAGTGAAATCAAACGCATCAGCGGAAGGAGGATTTCGAGTCGAAGATTCGATCTCTGGGACGCGTCCGTGGCCTCCAAGCTACTAGCGATGGCCTCCCCAATAGCGAACATCATCAAAAGGTACTTGAAAGCGTACCACACCGGCTGTTCACTCAACCAAACCTCGAAAAAGACCGCGGTACTCCCTCGGGTACTCCCCCCCAGTGGCGACGTGGCTGGCGACGCACCTGCCCTTGCTTAAAGAAGTCCATCAACTGTTGCGCCCCGTCACTGACGGACTTTTGAACCTCTCAGTCGAGTCGGATTTTTCGAAGAGGGGTTTAGAATTGAGTAGTTTGAAACACATAATTTTCAGAGAGTGAATCAAGTGAATGTTCCAGTTATCACATGTTATCACCACAGTCACTCAAGGGGCACAGTCCTCGGCCAAAGGGTTTGCAGGGAAACCCAAAAACATTGATCCTAATCATGATTTGGCAGCGATATAGTCATCAATGAACAATCTGCTACAGTCTACAATGAGTAGACGCACTCATTGAAAAAGAACAATCAAGCCGGCTGCACTGTCTGATGTCAAGCAATCTGAAAGAATCGAAAACCTTGGAACTCCAACATCAGCACCTTCGGATCCTTCTGTTTTAACAAAAATACAAAACAATATTCTGTGTCAAGGTGAGTTTTTTCAGAAAGTGTTCAAGACCTTCATTGACCCTCAGATTCAACTTCCATTAGGCAATTGTTTGCTTTTAATCGTGACCGAGGCAAACTAAAGTCACCTATATATCTAACTTCTTTTGTCACCTTTGCTCTGGTTTGGAGATCAACCCTCTTCCAAAGCACCGCTTTGGACGTACTCGCCCTGCTTCGGCGGCCTGGGTGGCCGTCTCCGATGCCGCCCGTGTGGCAGGTGGTGGGGCCTGCAGATTTGATGGCCGAACACGGCTACTCAAGGCTCAAAACGAAGAGAACCAAGTTGGAACCGCCTTTTTGGAGAAGTGGAAGTTTCTTTAAAACACGTGTCTTCATTGAAGTTTGGGTCCGTGAAGATGAAGACCATCATAACCAAGCACGTCATACCCAAGCAGCCACGAATTGGTCGATCAGGGTTGGACTCGTGTCAGCCACATGTGCCGAACCCCGAGACGAGACCCAAGGCCACCTGAGGTGCCTGGGGTGGGCTGGGAGGAGAGCTCTCCTGGGCACAGCGCGTTCTCAGAACGAAGACAGTACCCTTTTTTTTCTTCCGAACAAAGGGATATCATGGAAGAAAAGTTTGCTGTGGTTATGAGTAGATTCAGCTTGTTTTAGAAGAATCAATCAATATTGGAAAACGAACTGCCGCCTGGATTGAGAAACACTTATATAGAAGGTAAACTGAACTGGGGAAAGAACTAAGCACCATTGCGGTGAGTTTGGTGGTGCGGGGTTTCTTCTATTTCGACGACAACAACAACAACCACCACGACGACGACAACAACAATAACAACAACACAGGAATGTCATATACGATCACAAAATCAGTCTTTGTTGGCCTGTCTATCAAACTGCGCGCTGGAGATTTCCTGGACATGTCTGCTTTCGTGGCAGGACCAGGGGGGGTGGTGAACTTGTTTGTTTTTTTTTTTTAATGAGCTCTTACAGTCCTGTGCAGGTGTTTGGTTTGGTCTCAAAATCTCCCCAAGGGCGAGCATTGGCACCATAGCTCAGGCTAGCTCAAGGCCTTTGGAACCCTCTCTCGTTTCAGCAAAACCGTGTCTTCCGACAGATACCTTGGATCCAATAGAATCCCAAGTGTGTGTGTTTGTGTGTGTGCCCCTCGGTGGGTCAGTTGTTGCTAAATTGGTTCCTGATGGTTTCTGCTCTTTCCACAAGGCTTGTGATATTGCCAACCCGAAGCAGGAAAAGTCCAGACAATCGAGCCTTTGGTAGGCGGTTTGTGGATGATCATGTGATGATTGTCCAAAGCATGTGCACTTTTTTGTGACATGTTCAGTCAAACGTCCCACCTCTTTTGCACCTCCCTCTTACACTCCACACTCCACACCCACACTCGCCAAGATACGCCCATGGTCTCCTCGTTGAGCGCCTGGACCGATCGGTGCGAGGAGAAAGCGAGCGAGCCATTTCCGCCGCGAGGTGGACGGAGGACTTCAACAGGTTTGTCTCGAGACAACACGTTTTTTGGTCTCGATTAGTAACAAGAAGCTACTAGTAGCTCCTGGCACTATCCGGCGTGGAATTCCAAGCCCGAGAAACCCCTGATTTGCAATGCGTGGAGTTGCTTGAACATTTAATGTATTGGTGCATATCATGTCTATCGGTGAGCAGCTCAGTGGTTGTGATTTCTCTTTCTGTTGGTGGCACTGAGCGCCCCCCAAATGGAAAGCCCAAGTTGAATGATATGATGTGTTGTAATCAAGTTTGTTAATGACGATTGAAAAACTTGAAAAAAAATAGTACATCAACAGCCGAAAAAAAAAATAGAAGACTTGTCCTGGACTTCAATCCAGTTCACCTGCACATGGGTTTCCCCTTCTCGTTTTTTTGATGCAAGTCCAAAGTTGGAGGCGAAGACTTTTCAGCAGTGTAGCTGCAAAGCCTTAGCTGTCAATGGGGTTTTCACCTGTTAGAAGGGTCACACGGTCACACCGCAAAATCCAAAAGAATCCATTAGGATCAGATCTTGAGAAATCATGAAAGCTGAAGAAATGCCCTCCAGCAAGCGTTTCAAGCGCCAAGAACACCATCTCATCTCATAGTGGTCCCTTTGACCCAGCGCGCAACCACCACCTCTTCAACCAAAGCCCACCACCTGCCATCTCTTCTCCGCGCCTTCTCTTTCTTATACTGCTTCATGGCATCTGGAGACAACCTGGGATCGATGTTGCCCCAAACATACAACTTGAGCAACTGCGACCCACTGGAACATGGAGCAATGGCCGACCAGTCTCCTACCGAGCACTGAGATCTGGAGAAATGCCAGTAAAGAATCACCACAAAGTGGTAAAAAAAGCTGCTGATGCTTGTGCTCGTCCTGGCCCTGCTCAGCATGTATTGCAGTGTGGTCGTACAGTACAGGTTGCGAAGTGATCTCGAGTGACAACAAGGAACTGATTGAAATCTCTGCCAATGAAAATGACAAAAAAGCGGGATCCAGAAGACTTCTCTTGTCAAAGACCTTCCAGTGGTCGACCTCGTTCTTTGCCGCTTCCAAGACTCGTCCTACAAATTGGTGTTAAAGTCTCCAAACACTTCCATCACCCCCAAGAATTCCACACCAAAAACTTATCTTCATGTCTTGTTACGTTCGTAGCTAGAGAAGCTACTAGTAATGCCCTTGTTACTAACTACGAAACACGATACCCTGCCGTATTCCTTCCGACCCTCCGTCGCCGTCACTACCGCGAGCGAAGCAACACAGAGGCCCAGATATCGTCCTCGCTGAGGCCAATGACCTGCGAAGTCACGGGGGAAAGGGGGAGTCACGGCACGTGTGGTGGCTCGTGTGTGGGATGGCGAACAAATTCGTTCGGTTGTTTGGGTTCAAATGGCTTTTCATTGAGTACTAGAAAAAGATTGGAGCAAAGAGATTGGAACAAAGAGTTTGGACACTTGGGATCGCGGGGAGCAGTTGGGATTAGTCAGAATTGGAGTGGACTCACTTCGAGTTGTAGGACTGACAGAGAAGGAGAGGTTTCAGCTGGCAAAAGGCAGGAGCGTCCACTGTGTTGGAAGGATTCCATTCGAGTGGGGGGGCCATGCAGTGTCCGTTCGGAGTGGTATCTCACCCCAGCACCCCATGAGTCACGATGTCCGATGGCGCCTTCTCAACACTTCCGTCTTGGGGCGTGGCATGCATACCAGATGGAAGACGAGAAACGGATTCAATGGTTTGACCAGGGATACGCGTTTTTTGAGAGCTGTCACTCCAACCTGCATAGAGCAACCTGTCAAAGCGGAGCCTTGAACTTTTAGACCTGCTAGCAGTTCGTTTTCTGTCTGAAAGCCCATCCCAGGTTCCAGTTAGAGACCTGCCGCAGGGCAGAGGTGTTGAACTTCCTAGATCAACTAGATCAAGCGTGCGAGCGCCCTAGCTGTCTCTGGACAAATAGCAAGTGGCTTTGTCTGCAGCTTCGAAACACTGCAGAAGTACCTAAGCTGCAAAAGAAGACTACTACACCGGTATCGAACTCTTCACGAGGCCTCGGAAAGCTGTCCAAACGATGAAGCCTTGCCTTGTGGTGGCTCTTCAGCGCAGGCTCCTGACAAATTCGGGTGGGTCACCGAGGTCCTCCTGAAAGGCCTTGGCCCAATGGCTTTAACATGCGAGGCCTAAATGGACCCGAAACATACGAGAGACTTCAGAAACATCATTCTTGACAAAGCTCCTTTCGTTTCTTCATACCAAATTCCAAGAGCCAAGAAATGCTTCCAAGCCTATCTGTTCCTTTTCCAAAAAGCTCTAAATAAGATTTCTCAACCGCCACCTCACAAACAGGAACGTTTTGCTAAAACCTTTGCGCAGTTTGTTCGTTTGTTCGTTTGTGCATGTCCCAGCAGGCTACACTGCTCAATCCACTTCTTCCTGTCCCGGGATGGAGAATGAATAGGTTCACCTTAGGGGTGGAATGGATGTTGGCGTTGTTTGATTGGTACAAGGACTACTGGGAAACTTCTCGGATTGCCAGGGATTGCTGTGACCCCAAGTAGACTGTTGAAATTTTAGAACCCCTGATAGGATGGGTATTGTAACTCCTGAAGTCCTGAAGTACTCACAGTCCATTAGAGTATCCATCAGGGACTTCCAGGGAAGACTTGCAGGGAAGCCCCCTCTGCCAATGGCCTTGCGTGGCAGAGCCAGGGCCATGAGCATTACAGCGCCAGCCACGGCCAGAAGTGAGAAGCCGACAGTGCTCCTGGTGTGATCCAGCACTCAGGAACTGGCGGGGGGTTCACGACCCGTTTTTCTGATGAACATGAATCAAACACACTATTTCTACTACCTGTAGGTAAACTCCTGCAGGTTTGGTAGGAAAATCTTGGCACACTCTGAAAGGAAGGGCCTTTTCCTCGCAAACTGTTCTCTTGGAAGAAAGAGCAAGGCCCACTTGGTAGTCTGGAATCCTGAACCCCAAGTCAGAGGCTTTGACTCCCCGGAATCCAAACACTGGGCTTGCAAGCGAATCCAAAACACGTCTCTCCAAAACACTTCTCAAGAATGCACCCGAAAGAGTCACACCTTCAACCATGCCAGAGAAAAGGGAACAGTAGTAATACTTCCTCCTCCGGACACATCCACCACTCACCCGAAAAACCCGGTGGTTGACCAAAAAGGCGTTGAAGATGAACGTCCTGGAGCACCTTCTGGGTGCAGACGCGCCCAGCATGGCATCGCTTTCTGACATGGACTCCATATCCACCTGCCATGCCGAACCCTTCCAGGCAGCCGGTCGAAGTACCCGGACAACGAGACAGCCGGTCGATCTGGACGGTTGAAAGCGGTGCTCGAAAAAAATCGTTTCCAAAGTGCCTTGACATCTTTGCATGCCGGAGATAAGTAGAGTAACGTGTTCAGTCATTCTCCCAGCAAAGGGACCCTGCACAAAGGGTCTCTTTCGCCCCTGCAAGGTGAATCAGTTGTGATGGAGGAAACAACATATTCAAACATCCCTTCACATCTCCTGGAAACGACTCTTCCAGTTGTCACTTCCCGTCTGAAATCCCGGCGCCGCGGAACCCCTGGATCCTGTAACTGGTTCCCAAGTTTCTCATGTCGCGAGCACCCAAAGAATTGGGGCACAATACGTCCCGAGAGGCAAGGTCTCTTCCCTTTCCATCCAAAAATGCAGAGAAGGTTTTGGGAACCCAGCGTGTGTCTCAACAAATACGACTCAGTATTTCCGGTAGCCTACAGACATCACATGTTCGTCAACAAAAAATTGGGCGGGTCACATTTTTTTCCGTAAAAATAGGAAAAGGTGTCAAGAAATCCATATCATTATCATGTGAGATATGGTCGATTTCTAGAAGTGGGGCTGCTGAACACTGGCATCGGGAAATCATGGGACAAAGACAGGGAAATCACTGAGCCACTTGTAACCCACGCCGTCTATATATACCGTAGAAGAAATGACCCATCCAATGGGTTTTCATAGTTCTGGCCGACTGCATGGTGGATTCCTGTCCAAACTTTTGTGCCTGCCCAACCACAATCTTGCACAAAGGCTCATCTAAGTTGACAAATGTTTCAATCCCTGTAGATTTTTTTTGAGATGTCATTGGACCTTCTAGTTTCCATTAGAGTTGGTGGATCGAGCACAAACAAAACCGGGCCTGAGAAAGTTCCTCCATCTCGCGGGCCATGACGACAAAGGACCGTGACGGCGTCGCTCTTTGTGCTAGAAGCAGGCAGCAAGTCACACTGGAGCCAAACGGCCATGAGTCTTATGAATTAGCTGGAGCGATCCTCGAATCGGTGGTAGCATGAGATGTTGCAAAATGGATTGCTGGGCCGAAAACGAACCAATGCCCCGAATCCGACAGGACAACTTCTAACATCCATGTCATGCATTATAAAAACAGCAAAACACAAAACCATACATGTCATGTTCATTCAACTGGGGCTGAAACGATGCCCAAAAAAAGATGCGGCCTATCTGTACATTGGTTTCTCCTTGCATGAACAATGTTCGAGGTGAAGTGGTGGCCGCCAGTTGACCTGACCCAACTGACCCAATCAAAGCAGGTAGTCACTGCACTGATGATGTAATTATTTCCCTCAAAAATCTGAAATGGTTGAAAAGTTGGGTTCAAACCTGCATCTACAAGGAACCATCAGAAAGATCGTGCCAATTTTTGTTTCCAAGGAATCATCTTACTCAAAACCGGCTTCGTTGCCTCGCATCTTTTCACTCGGTCTTTGTCGGTGCTTCGTCTGAGATGCCTGAACACTAACAACCTGGAAGCGTCAGTCATGTTGGTATGTGGGCTTCGGGTTTGGGCAAGGGGTTTGCATAATTAAAAAATCGCATGTTTTTTTCATTGCCATGCTCAAGTCCAATTAGCTGCCTATCCATCCCAAATGTGGCGAGTGGAAATTTGCAATTGCTTGCGCGAAATGTTGAAACACCAAGCAACACGCCACTCCAATCAACAAAACCAACAAGTTCGGCAAGAATTTCCACGCGACAGGCGGTCAGGCGCGGGAAGCCTGAATGTCTGGCTTTGAAGGGGTGAAGCCAAAATGGTTTTGATTTTCATTGCTGGTTTTGGCTTCAAAAAAGCAACCGGTTTGCAGCCCAAAAAGTGGTTCGCACTGCTTCGGTGGCTGACATCACGAGGCTGTCACGCGCAGTGCACAGAGATCCACCCACACATTTGAATGCACGGAAGAAAAGTGCACATTTGAGCTGTGTTCATTTGTCTCAAGCCACCTGGACAGGAGTGGGCAAGACACCGGGAACGGGTGAAAACTGGTGCAGAAGATTTTGCTCCAGACATGATGGCCAAGTGAAGGTTTAGAATTTTTTCTCGTCCACATGGCCTGTCTTTGTCGTTGGTGGGATTGAAGTGTAGATCAGGCATGCCTTCACAATGGGAGATTCGTGTCATGTTGCTTCAGCTTTGTGCCCCGGCTCAAACTTCTCTAAGAGTGAATGCCCTGTCAGGTATTGTTAGACATATACCTTGCCCTTACACTGCTTCGTTTAACCCTCCATCTCTGAGTTTCTTAGCATTCGGCTCACAGGGTCTCGCGACACTCCCTTAGTACCACGGTGTGCGCTTCCCCCTGCTTTGCTAAAGCTCTCTGTTTTCCATGAGAACCTCACTATCCTTCCTTTCCAGCAACAGTGCATTGCCATCAATGAGCGAGGAGTCACAGTCTACGGTAGCAGTCGAGGGCGCTTGCATCGCCTCATTCTCCACGTTACCTACCATGAAAGGCCACTCCTCAATTATGTTGATGCCCATGTTGCAGGTCGACCATTCGACTGTACGTCCGACACACTTAATTCTTTCCCAGACCCGACCATTCGAGGCTCAGGCAACTGGACCATGCGGGACCAGGAGAGGCAGTTGCGTGTCCACCCAGGCGCACATGGTGGCGAACTCCTGATTCTGCTGTGCACCCAACCTGCCGGCATCGACTGGCACGAGAACATCACCAAGTCGACACTGCCCTGTTTGAACGGGCACAAGCCATGATGAACTCTCTGGAAGACATTGAACAAGCGCTCGTCTTAGTGCCGCCGGACGTCCAAGACAACTTCATTGCGCCACTTACCACGCTCCAAGCAGAACTATGTTTTTGCACGGGTTGAGGCGCTGTGTGTGCAGAGGATGCACAAGTCACCTTAGTCTGGTAAAAGAGAGAGATACGAACCAAGCGGCAAACCGAAACCAGAACTTTTTTTTTCCACGAGTACGGACGCCGTGTGGGCGGGGTGCCCAGGTCATCATTGAAAGGAATGGAAACACAGCATGATGATTGGGAAAAAACACAAGAACAAAAGCCGCAGAAAACAACCAAACACACAACCAGAACCACAACCAAACACCACCCAAGGCCAGAGGCCGAATCCCCATCGAACAAATAGTGTTTCCTCTGTACTAAGGTGAGACAGGTGAGAACAATAGACTGCATACTATCTAAGGGCCTGAATTCACTACGAAGTTTGTCAAAGGGGTCAGTGCACGAGCGAAAGAGCAGGCGAAGCCTAACAGAGAGGCTTCGTGCAAACATCAAAACTGTGACCACACGGCAACTGCATCGAGCGGCAAAACATGGTCACATAGCATTTCGCTCAGGGCTCCTCATGACTGTCAGCAGTACTGATTCTTGCCAAAGGAGATCAGTTGTTGCAATGCCAAACTTGCCAAGGAAAAATCCCTTGTCGCGGCACAACCTATACAACTGATTGCACAAACGAAGTGAAAGGCGAATCAAAGGCCAGGCGGTGGAGGCAAAGCGACCGAAAAGGCTTGCTGACGAAGATGCTGCATTGCCTCCCCCAAGGGAGGTCTTCATTGCGCCCCTTGGCTCCTAAAAATGTGCCAAAGAGGGGTGAATCTTCCATCCATGACATGGTGCCCTCGTAAAGACACCATCTTGTTGCATGCAAGGCCCGTGTGAAACAGGTGAAACTGTAGATCTGTCCTAGCATGGTACTTGTGCCCTCTTTGTACAAAAGTGGCAATGGCCTGGCAGCAACAGACAGTAACTAAGGTTATCCCTGCGCGCCTTCCATCACCATTCGCTACCACCCGCCAACCAGGGACAAGGAGCTAAGGCTCTCATCCCGGTGGGCTCACGAGATCGTAGGTGATGAGGGCGAAAATGTGACTTCGGTTGGCCTTTGAGTCGGCTGGCAAGCATTCACTGAGTGGAGGAGGGGAAGATCTCCACCACTTTGCGACTAGGCTTCTAAGTCCTAGGATATTGCTTCTCGAAAGTCTTCTCTCCACTGGTCTTTGGCATTTGGCGGTAAGTATCGAAGCCACGTGGGCTTGTCTAATTGTTCACATTTGTCAAAGGTATTGACTCGAGCATACGTTCCTCGCCAAGTCTTGCTTTTCCCCTTTTTACGAAACGTTCGGAGTTGCGTGCAACCTGCAAAAGCACGCCGAGCTATGTAAAGCAGGGATGGCGGAATGCAAACCTCCTGTAGTGAGGCGCACTGGAGGAAGGCTTCTTGTTCTATGATTCGTAAGTTTCGGGAGAGGCTGAGTTGTTGCAATTGTGAGCAGTGTGCAAAGGTCGAGCCCAATATCTCGATGATGTCTATTCGGGACAGGTCAACGGTTTGCAGCTGGCAACGCGCACAGGCGGCCGGTCCCATCCAGTTAAAATCTGGCGGCAGGGAAAGGGAGACAATTCCTGCTTCCAAAAAAACAACATTCAGGTAAGCTTCTGTTCGGGTATGCAGGGTTGTACTCTGCCTTGTCCATGTTGAGGTAACGCAGGGCCGTACACCCTTCAAAAGCTCGAGGCCGAAGTTGCGCTTGGGGGGCCAGTAGGTTGTCAGAGTGTTGAGTCGTCCCAATTTGGGTAAGCGAGCAACAAGCCTCAAACACCTTAATGCCAAACTGTTTGCATCCAGGCGCTGTCACTGCCCGTAGTACATAACATCTGCGAAATGCCCCGTGCCTAAGGCTAACAACTGTATCTGGCAGGTGGACTACTTGCAGTCGTTGACAGCTCCTCCAAGCAGCTTCCCCTACAATCCGAATACCGTCCTCAACTAAGACATGACGGACTTCCGTGTGAAAGGAAAAGGCTTGTGGCGGTATTTTGTCATTTCTGCCCAAAGGCACACGTATGGCTTTGGCTTCTCCTTTGAGCTGACCCTTGTGTACTGCTTCAACAAAGCATTGCCGGGCAAGCACGTAAAAACCCTGGCCGGCACGTAATGTGCTCTGAATGGGGTCAGCTAAGACTTCATGGGACTCTTTTCGTACGAATTGCAGCTCGCACCCGAAGGTGCTGTTGCTTCCCAAATAGGAGAGCTGCTCTAGCACTGCATTTTCGAAACCATGGAGTCTGACATGCTCAGACGGGTCAACAACAATGTGGTGATTTTCACCCGCCAGAGTGGTAAGTGTTAGCGGCAATGCCGACGATCTTTCCTTACCAGTTGGCTGGCTAAATCTGTGGTAGCGTCTGCCATGCTCCCCATTTACAGATTGCTACCTTGAGCCCATAGGAAGACCGGGTAGGCATGTGTGATGTTCTTCACAGCCCTGATATGGAGGTGGCAGTGGACCGTCACTCCCCTAGACCATAGATTGCAGCTACTTGGACTACGCGACACACTATGTTTACAACTCGCCTACCCTGGACCGGAGCTAAGGCTCGTACCCAGGCACTTAATAGGTGACAGGGTTAATGCAACTGAAGATAGACACAAAAGTGTCCTAGGCGAACGGTTCATTGCTCCTATTTTGCTTCCGAACTCCGCTGGGAGATCCCTTGTGAGTTCCTGAGGATGAGAGCTCCGCATGCCCACACTGAGACCTTGGCTTGGGCAGGGAGGGGTCCCTTCAGGCTAGGCCAGATACATATCCCGTGTCTGGGATCATGTGCTCAGTCCTGGGCAGGTGGCGAAGGCGTTTTCTTCCGCGTAGCTTCCTCGCCATTTGTGCCGGCCGGGTAACTTGACTAGTCTCCGGAGCGCCGTGCAGTCCAAAAAGGCCCTGCTTGCTATGTACCTTAGCGAGGGTGGTATAGCAAGTTCTGGCAGGGCCGCACAGTTCATGAAAGCTTTGACTCTAATGGTGTGAAGAGTGGGCGGTAGACTGATCTCCTGAAGGCTAGTGCAGTGCACAAAGGTAAATTCTTGGATTTCTTCAATCTTTGTATTGGAGGTCAACTTTCTTTAGCAAGTGGCAGTCGTCACAGGCATGCGCACCTAATACTGAGAAGTCCTGCGTGAGAGTA